CCCCCCACACACACAGGGTTGCAGGGCTGGTGTGAGTAAAGTCGACCACTTTTCTCTCTCAAGGGTTGTCGCTAACTCTGGGTGATGTGGTGAGAGTCCTTGTCCATCAGTCAAATGAATCCTGGGCAGACTCTCTGTCCAGGTTCAACCTCCTGATGACTCGATGAAAGTCCAATGAAGCAGTCTGGCACAGTTATGCTTTTTTTGAGTGCATAGCGTATATGACAACACACACACAAAGAGCTGATCTCCCATTCAGTATTCACAAGACGGCTTTCATTTTAGTTAAATATATTTATTAGGTCATTAACTTACTAACAAGATTCCAGATGTGCAGAGCCCAAGAAACACTGCAAAGTTCAGCGCTCCTAGACGACTCGACTCGACTCGACTCGACCCACATTGCCTAGGTGCACCCCACGAATACATCGGAGCTTTGTTAGGGAAACACACAAAAAAAAAAACATTACATGGGTGCTTCAATTCCTGCCACTGCTACTGCTAGTGACTGGCCAAAGATGCTCGGCACTAGCATCGCCGGTTTCCCCCACCCCGCATCATCATGATGAGGGGCTGATACAAGTCTTGCTCTCGCACCACTGCTGTGGTGCCAACCTACCCCATGGGCCCATGGACTGGGAGAGTTCCAGGTTTGGTTGGGTGGTGGTCCCCCCTACTATACATAGAGTAGCGAGAGGATGAGATAGATGAGGAAAATATATACAAAGAAGATTGAGAGAAGAATATAGATTAAAAAAAGAAGAAGAAGAAGAAGAAGAAGACGAAGAAGAAGAAGAAGAAGAAGAAGAAGAAGAAGAAGAAGAAGAAGAAGAAGAAGACATTGGAGGAGAAGGGGAAGAGGGAGTAGAGGTATGGGAGAAGTGGGAGGGAGAAGGGAGGAGAGAGAGACCCACCAAGTGGAGGCGGCAAACCCGTCAGTGCTGTGAACCTCTCATTGGACAAATTCTTATCCGAAATTACAAGAGCATGATATTTTCCCAAGTCAATCTCGTCCGTTGACTTCAGGATCCAATGGCCGCCGGCCCTCCCTTCGTCGTCCGACTCCCTTCTGAAGCTCCCCACATAACAACCATACTTCACCTCCACGCCTGCCATCAGAAATGGCAGAATGCAAGTTAAAAAAAAAAAAAAAAAAAAAAAAAAAAGCAAATGACCTAAGGTTTTTGGGGATGTTGAACCTTTTCTTTTTTTCCCCCCCTTTTCGAACCATTTTGGAACCATTTTCAAAACCATTTTTTTAACCATTTTTAAAACCAATTTTGAAACCATTGTTGAACCATTTTTTCGAGATTTTTTACCCGTTCTGCAAGTCCCCAATGTTTGGTTATTCTTTTGTTTAAATAAATTATTTTTTTAGTAAATTTTTGCCCAAAAAAGTTGAATATTTCATTACATAAAAAAAAACCTTGCTTATTCTTTTGTTTAAAAAAAATATTTTTTTAGTAATTTTTAACCCAAAAAAGTTGAACATTTCATTACATAAAAAAACCGAGGGCGGGGAACCTCACAATCAACCCGGAGAGAACCACTGGACCTCACTGCACTACTCACCACATGCACAAAAGATAAAAAATATGCCCGTGAATCTTCCCATGTTCTAGGAGAAGATTCCTTCTCATTTCCAAATTTGGTGAGTAGTGGAGCCAGGCCCATTGACTGAAAGCATTATCCATCCCTCTCTTTTTTTTTTTTTTTTTTTTTTTTTTTTGCATTATCCAGCTTATCTTGCAGGAAACTTTTTTCCCTTTTTTTAATTATGAAACTTAATAATGAAAGGCTAATTCTTTTAAGCCCAAGCAATTCAATTACCTCAATTTACCTGTCAAATCTGGACAGTAGTCTCAGGACAGCCTTTCAGGCCTTTTATATTATCATTATAGTATTACGGGGGACCCCCTAGCAGCCCCATCTGTGTTCAACGAGGGAGCATGCACGAGCTGCATCCACTCACAGGTGGGCGATACCAGCGAGGGGTCAGCAGGTAGCAACAGGACCCAGCTTCTGCGATGGGTCAGTAGCTGTGCCTCCCCTCCGGTCCCCTCCCCCTACCAACATCAGCAGTCTCTGCCGAATGCCGCTCCGGGGGACCAAGGGCCTATCTCTACGTGGCCAGCGCCAAGCTTGCCCGCCCAGGAAGGTACATGAGGCCAATGGGGATTGAACCCATGACCTCCTCCTGAATGCCATTTTTTGCGTGCCTTACCAACTGAGCTACCTTCTTCCCCCGAATAGAACCTACGGTCATTATAGCCGTATTTGGGATATATTTCAGTCCAAGCACAGCTATAATGACCCTACTTTCAGCCTTACAAACACAATTTATGTGAAGCTAAAGTAGCAGCTGCTTGAGCATTTGACAAACTAACACCATCCATTTCAAAAATAATTTGTCCTTGGGAAACACGAGCAATCCAACCTGTAGGGTTTCCTTTTCCTTTTCCCATCCTTACTTCTGTAGGTTTGCTGGTAATAGGAATATCTGAAAAAACTCTCACTCATATTTTACCATTTCTCCGAAATTTCCTGGTGATGGCACGACTCGCCGCTTCAATTCCTTGATATGGTATGCGACCTGCTTCACAACTTTTAAGACCATATTTTCCAAAACAAAGTTGTGCCGCCGCGTGGGAGCCTTTGCTTCTTCCTTTCTGATGGGTACTTGCAGGAAACATGACATGCCCATGGCCGGTTTTTTTTTTTTTTTTTTTTTTTTTTTTTTTATGGCCAAATTTCAATGGCAGCTCTGAGGCTGCTGAGATGACTACACAACACTCTAAATGCATTTGGACACTTTCTGGACCTGAAGCATACGGACGAGCCCAACATTCGTACCGTATTGGCTGGAGAAAATCGTCCAAATGCATGTAGACCATTATGTAGTGGAGCCAGGCCTCTATATATGAGAACGGAGCCAGGCCTGGGAAAAAAAACACTCACCAAATGTGAAAAATTGAGAACGAATCTTTCCTCTGCAGCTTCGGAAAGATACACCCACCATGGGTTTTTGTCATTTTGGCATATCCCCTAGAACTTGAAAAACCATAGTTTCGCCCAAAAAAAAAAAAAAAACAAAAAAAAAAAAAACCTAGTTTTGGTCATTTTGGGATTTGGTGAGTGGTGAGACCATGCTGAAAAGTCAGGAGATACTCACTCAAGGACTTTTTCTGAATGTATCTGACCCGAATTCTACGACAGTCTGGATGCATCTTACTGCAATTGCGTCCAGAGCTGAGTCCACCAAGTCCTGGTGTGAGTGTGCTCTCACAGAGAAGTGCCCAGTTAGAAAGGGAGAGCAGAGAGAAGGACAATTACTGGGGCGCTGTGACATACAATTTCGTCCGAGTTTTCGGGCATCGCCACACCACTCTCGAAATGTGCAAAATGAGAACGAACTTCCTCCTAGAACATGGCCAGATGCATCCGCCACATTTTTGTCTTTTTCACATTTCGAGAGTGGTGTGGCGAGGTCCCCTTGCCCTGTGTGTGTGCTTTCATATGTTCTCTACACACAACTCCACATTATAAAAAAAAAAAAAACACAAAAAAAAAAAGCATGAATGTGCCAACCTGTGGACTTTCACCCATTCATCAGGAGGTTGAAGTGTGAGTGTGTTTGTTGTCATGTTGGCTATACACGAGGACTTTTGTTTTACGTATTTCTGGACGTAATTGCAGTCATATGCATCTATGTCCTGCCACAAACGCGCTCGGATGCATTTAAGATAGAGTTACTGTGAGTACGCCCTGTGCTAGACTGTTTAGCCGGTGGAAGAGTCGGACTTTCACTGATTCATCAGGTGTGTGTGTGTGTG